AATCTTTTAAGCTTTGCCACCTTAAAAGTGAGTTAAAATCTTAGTTTTATTTCTTACTTTATAAATTGTTTATTTCCCCCTTTTCTATTTTAGCTTGGTTATCATTTTCTAGCTCCATTCGCCCCATCAGTTCGTGGCTATTTGAGTTGTTTCTATTTTGGGGCTATTTTAATTAATGCTTCTATAAACGTACATATTTTTGTGTGGACATATGTTTTCATTTCTTGTGGATGCAAACCTAGGAGTGAACTTGCTGGATCACAGAATAGTAAATGTGTTTAGCTGTTTGAGGAACTGCCAGACTGTATTCCAAAGAGCTGCATAATGAGAACTATTTTTCTACCTTATAATATTTCTGACACCAAATGCAGGTTGTTTCCCCCACACACACACACACCAAGCAACTCTCTATTTAAATAATCTGTGATAACAAGTGTGTGTCCAATTCAATTCTGACAATGCCTTCCTTGAGTCAGGTTAAAGGCCCAATCCTACAATATTGCTACCCACCCCCACTTCAGATGCCAATTGCCAGGTGGGGGCCTACTGTATTTCTCATGGATTGGCTATAAGTCAGGGACTTCCATGACCTCCTCCTCAGTTTGGTATGGTAATTTGCTAAAATGGCTCACAGAACGTGGGAAAAGTTTACTTATTGCATTACCACAATTTTAAAAAATCAGATGTAGTATTTACATTCTGATGGCTATTACATACGATTTATAGCTCAGCCATGTAATATATAGGGTGTCCCCCAAAAATGTATACACTGAATAGTTCTTAATTCCAATGGGTTAAATCTGAAAAGAGGCATCAACTGAGCTATCAGAAAAAAAGTATGAATACATTTTTTTAAATATTATTTCTTTATTGATTTCAGAGAGGGATGGAGAGGGAGAGAGAGAGAGAGAAACATCAGTGATGAGAGGGAATCATTGATCGGCTGCCTCCTGCACGCCCTCCACTGGGGATCAAGCCCGCATCCCAGGCATGTGCCCTTGACTGGAATTGAACCTGGGACACTTCAGTCTGCAGGCCGATGCTCTATCCACTGAGCCAAGCCGAATAGGGCCATTAAATACATTTTTGGGGACACCCTGTACGGTGACTACTTTTCCAGTCTTGCATAACTTTGTATTCTCTGTGGAGTTATTTATGCCTTCCAGAAATCCTGGCCTTTAGTTCTCAAAAAGACCCACTGGGTGTGTGTATATGTGTGTGGTGTGGTGTGTGTGTGTCTGTCTTTATAACTATCCTTCTGAAGACCCTTTTCTGTCCCCCAAATCTTTCCGCCAAAAGCATTTTCGGGGTATTTGCCTTTCAGCCTGTACCTTGGCTCTTCTAACTCCGCGGACAAGTCGTTTTCCTTTGTACGGACACCTAACTTCTAAGATGGCTGCGCCCGCGGTGTGTTTCCGACTCGTGCTCTGTGCAAAGCGGACAGCTTTCTCCCCAGGTTGCTGAGGTGGACGCAGCCCGCCCCACGTCTGCCTGGCGCCAGTTCGAGCTTCTGAAAGTGAATGCAGTTTGTTTACAGGGTTTTGAGGCGCCGAGAAATGAAGTCGTTCGGTGGCTTTTCACCGTCCCAAGCCTTCCCTAGCGACTCGGGTCCAAACGGCTATTTCGCCTTTTGTACGTCAAGTGTAGAAAGATGGCCGCTCCCTTATGCGATGAGGACACGGGCGCAGATACTGTCTCCCTGGAAACCGGAAGTCCAGGCGTCGGTGCGCCGCACAAATGCCTCCGACTCTGTTCGGTCGCCACAGACCGGCGCGTAGGCTGCGCGAGGACAGACGCGGCAAAGAATTCACGGAGGTGCAGCTCGTGGAAGGTCGCGGAAACCCAGTCTCCGTGTGGAGCTCTCGGAGGTACAGGATGGAAGGATCGCGGTGTCTGAGTGTTCGGGTCGGAGGGCAGGGCGTCCGCTGGGGGGAGGCAGCCAGCGGGAGTCTGATTAGGGTGCCTGTGGGGTCAGC